TTTAAAAATTTTTGTTTCCAAAAAAAAGAGACAAACATGATTGGGAGCAAAATGGAACCAAACTTGCAAAAACTTATCGTTTTACCAATCAATTTTAAGCTATTAGTAGCGCCAGTAGCCCGTTGTCTACTGCAACGTTAAGTTTAGCAAAAATTGTTATATTCAGAAACAGAAGACAGTCACAACAAGATAACTATTTGTAAATCGCAAGTCAAAATGACCAGGTCCTTAAAATCAAAGCGAGCCGCTAATAATCTGTTGAACTTCTTTATAATTGCCTTTGCAGACGACAGAACCAAAACCAGTAAATCCGAAGAAAAGATGCAGATCGTTTTTAGGACTTACAAATCTCCTCTTTCAGCTTCAAAACTTATAATTCTTCTAATACTGAAAGTCTTAAAATATATACGACAAAAAATCATCGTTTTTCAGTATTCTGCTGGTGGAAAAAACTAAAAAATAAACTGGTTTCATTCTAATTAAACATTCTTCTCCTGTCTTTAGATGACAAATAGCCAGTTTTTACCTGGAATGCAGTACCCTCAACAATATGAGCTAGTGAACAGTTGCAGACCTAAATGTCAACAGAACTGCCAAACTGCTTGCCAGTTCAGAAACTATTCGCCATTCCAGTGCCAAGCAGCTTGTCAGCAGACTTGTGCCCAAACATGTGGATTTCAAGACCAACGACAGATACAGCAACAGCAGGTGCAACAGCAGCAACTAGAGCAGTTCCAATCAAAGCAGCAAGGCAGAGCTCCTTTTGAAGAAAACCAAGTAAATGGAAACCTGAGAACAGGTGAACCAATGAGATGCATCCCGGTCTGTATGCCTCTTTGTTTAAAAGAATGTACGGAAGATACTGAATCAAAGCCGTATCAGAATAATGTGCCACAGCAACCGAATAAGATACCAGCTCAACAACAACAGAACACTATGCTACCAGATCAACAGCAACCTACAGTTAAAGTTGAACTCTTGCCTTTGACAGGACAGACGACGTCTTGCATGGATACTTGTAACGGGTATGAATATCGCTCTAGAAATGCATTTCAATTCGGTTTTTATTAAGTTCCAGAAAAGCGAAATCCTGAAACATATTGAAAATTACCTCATTCCACTCAGAATGTTTTAAAGCGGAAAGATGTTACGACTTAGGTGTTTCTAATAATACAGTTCAGTGCATTACTTGTTTCCAATTACCAAATTTTTCATTCGTCGTCTTTATTTGTATATGCTACAAGTTTTGAAACAAATGCTGGTATGCTTCAAGTTTAGGATCTGTATTGAAGTATGCGTACAAGCAGGTCAATCTCTATCTTCGTGTCAGTCAAGCTGTCAAGCAGAATGCTTACAAAACTGCGGTGGTGCCCAACAAAATCTTGTTCAAGAAGGACAGATTAACAATCAAGCGCAGCAAGTACAAATTCCATCTGTGAGTTTCTTTGCCGAGATCAACCTACAAATAGTCAACTCAAAAGTATGAGAACAATCAGTTTTAAAAGTAAAAATAAATACACTATTAAAAAATTAGCAAACAAATATCAGCTGTGGTATAAATTTCAAAAATTTAAAAGTATACAAAATAGTATACGTATAAAACTTGAAATACTTGATGCTGAACAAAATGACTGAAATTTCTAAAACTTCAAAACAAAGAAAGACAGTTTAATCTATTTTATTTTGCAATAACAGCACAAAAAACATAAAAGTTGGATTTAACTTGCAAATTTTTGTTACGCCAAAATACACGAAGTCACTACTGTACACCTGCACACGAACTTATAGTTTTTTGTTCGTAATGATATTAATACTAACTGCACCTTCAAAATAATTAACCCAAATAGTGTGAAAAGGTTGTTAATGTTATCCAACTTTAGTTTTCGTTGAATTGACAACAACGACATCAGTAACTGATTTTTTTTAGTAAAGATATGTATATATAGCATTATTAAGATAGCAAAGGAAGACGTAGGTTATCGTAGACAGGAAAATCTCTAAAAACAAAGACAAAAATGGAAATTTCTGAGTAATGGAGTAGCGCCTCTCCAGAATAAGACAATAAATTTCTTTTATTGAGCAGCAGCGGCAGCCAGGCGGCCTAAAACGGTTATGAAACGGAAGGCTTCAAAACCACTTTGCCACGGGCTTCTTTAGTTCGAACGGTTCTCATCAAGAGCAAGAAAAAGGCATTTGAAAATGCCATTGTAAAGTGAATTTCAGAACAAATAGATTTCAGCAGTCGACCGGTAAGCAGGGTGCCTCGGTTCCAAACAATCAACAAAGAGGTACCACAGGACAAACGATGTCACAAGAGTTCCCATCAACTTCACTTTTATCCTCATTATCAGGATCACCACTACCATCTCAAGAATTGCATTATAACAACACTGAGACAGATCAAAATTTAAGCGGTAGCTCGCTGTCAGAAGCACAACAACCTCAACCACAAATTTCTGTTACTGAGACTTCCGAAGAAGGAGTCAAGATAAAAACAATCTGCATCTCAATTTGCCAACCTGATTGCCACGAAACTTGCATTCAGGTTCAACTAAATATTGACTGATATGGTTTACTTTTAACGTGAATTTTAATGAAATAATCCTTCTTTCTGGGTATCTCTCGACATCTTTAGTATAATTGTGCTTCAAAAACGGAAAAAAGCGATAACACCAAAGATAGCTTTTGATGCGTAAAAGTAATATTTCACTCAAAGAACAAAACTGTTGAAACACAGTATACGCATTCGTGAACAATATCGCCGCGGTTTATGAAGCACTTTTTATCTAAACATACCGGTCTGTAACAATAATGAGCTATCCATAAACGAAAGCTTAACCTACTTTATAACAAATCAGCTTAAACTTCCTGCTCTGTAACCTCACGACTGCTTAAAAATAAATCTTCTGTCTATCAAAATTATAAAAGATTTTTAACAATAAAAAATTATTATTTTTTCATTTTTAGGGGCAACAGGCTGGAGTCGCGCTAACTGGAGAAACAAATCAATCTGAAGCGCAACCACCTCTGGATATTCATATAAATGTATATCCCGAATATCAACAACAACAGCAAGTCCAAGAAGTTCAAATTCAACCACAACAGCAAATAAACCAAGCGATTCAAATCCAGCCACAACAACAACTAAGCCAGTCAGGTCAAATGCAGCAACAAGTAATAACTGAAGGGCAGATTCAGCCTAATCAAGGACTACAGCAATTAGTACAGCAATCTGCGAGCCAACCTCAACAGCAAACTTATGAAATACTACAGAGACCCGGACAAACGGAGAACGGCTATTCTGGGAATGTGGTGGAATCACAATGTCAGAACAATTGTATTACTAGTAAGTTCTTTAAAAGCTATAATAATTTTTAAAAAACTTAGATTCACATTTCAAAAAGACATTTTATCTCTAATCAGTAAAAAAATTTTAATGCAGGTGTACATTCTGTGTAACCAATTGCTCACTGTTGACAGCGCGCTAGTAATCTTCACCTCCTAATAAGCATAAAGTTGATTTGTTTGCAGTTTGTATACAAGCGTGCATTGAGCAGCCAAACGATCAAGCTGACGCATGCAGAAAGACCTGCTCAGATTCATGCTATAATCAATGTCAACAACAAACAGTACAGTCTCAACAACCTTATATCGGTCAACCTACCGTATATAATGTCGCACAACAAACCAATATGTCACAACAGCAAATTGAAAATCCATTACCGATTCCAATAGAGGTCATCCTTCAACCCAATGTTCAGTCAACTGGTTTGCAACAACAGCAACAACTACAACAGCAACAGCAACAAAAACAACAACTACTACAGCAACAGCAGCAACTACAGCAGCAGCAACAAATACAACAACAGCAGCAGCAGCAACTACAACAACAACAACAACAACAACAACAACAACAACAACAATGTTTACCTAATTGTCAAATAGGTAATGTTGCTGTAGCACAAAACCGCAATTTCCCTACCTTGTTTAGATCTTATCAAGACTTTTTCAAAGCTCCATTTGAAGTATCAGTCAAAAAAACAACTTTTTTCAGCATGCCAGCAGTCTTGTGCTCTGAACCAAACCCCGCAATCTGCTTGCGCATCAATGTGCCAAGCAGAGTGTCAGCGAGCTTGCGCGGAACCAGTCACTATTTCACCTTCACCATCTCAGTACCCAAGTAATATACCAACCGCAAGTGGTACTCCCTCCACGAGTCAGCTGCAAACACAAGGGGGGCAACCGCTTATATGCGTCACAGTTTGTATGCCCTTATGTTCAGCAGAATGTGTTCAGCAGCAGCTACAACAGCAACAACAGAATCAGCAAGTGGTATCTCAGGGCCAACAAGTGGCTCAAAACGTTGATCAATCAGCGGCTCAAATGGCTCAACTAACGCCTGTAGTAAGTTGTTTTATAGACATTATACAGTTGCTGTAATTTCGGTAATGTAAATAAAATTAAAACTTAGCGCACTGCTTAGCACTTGCGTTATCGCTCTAGACGTCTTCTTCACATAAATAATTATAACGATTCTCCGCTGCCATGCCAGCGTCCAAATATCCTTTATTAGCACAAATTTTGTTTCGCCCGTTATTTGTCATTTATGTAATAGAAGTTTCAGCAGCCATCGACGGGAACAAGCTACATTCCAGCTAATGCTGAATGCTTAGCTTCCTGCACTAATGCTTGTCAGGTGCAGTGTGAGGCTCAGAACCAACCGGCCTCTGTCTGTCAGCCAGCTTGCCAACAGCAATGCATGAAGGTTTGTAGGAAAAAGGCACGTCGTCCAAAAAAGAAGAACCCAGATAAGGCAGTTGTGGCGGAGACAAAAACTTCAAGCTAGTTGTTTCTTTGGCCATTTGCTTTACTGTTTGTGTTTCTTATAACTGTTTTATTTTGTCAGCGAAACATTTAAACAGTTCTAATTTGTTTGTCATACTGTTTTAACATTCCTTATTCGTTTAATAACGCAAAATCACCGTGTCTTGCCGCTATGCGGTTTAGAAAAAGGTTACCAAGATTATAAGTTGTTATTTGCTTTGACAACGTTAACAGTAGTTACGCCAATTATCGGTATAATCTGCTCCAATTTTTTTTTCTACTTGTTTGTCGTCGTCACATATTTATTTAGTTTTGTGATGCAATTAATCAAGTGGTAATATTGGTCTTTAGTGAAAGTGTTGTCTTTTAATCACTTTTCCTTAATAATTGTCATAATAATAGAAAGATTATGTCCTGCAGTTTTCTGCAATATTTTATTCTAAATTATAAGATTTATTTTTTGATAGACACGATAAGTATGATATATAACAGAGAAGAATTTTAAGTTTATAATTGCCAATGTATAGTTCTCTGTTATTTTTTCATACTCATAAATTATTTGCATTAATATAAGTGAAATTTATTGCCTGAATAGTTTATGTTCAAGAGCAAATTTGAACATCTGGATGATAAACGGCACTAAACAAGAGAAGTTAGATGCATTCACAACAGCACTCATTGCTTTTACTGGAATACTCTGCATAAAATTACCGAAGAGTAATTTTAAAGAGAGTTTCACTGTTTTCTTTTTGATGAAACAAGTGAGAAATATAATGTTGGTATATTTTATGAAGAGAAATACATTGAAAACTGACTTTTTCCTGCATATTCTCTGCTGCTATATGTAACCACACATTGCCTCTAGTTAGCAGAATCACAGTGCTCCAGAATTGTTGTATAATCAGCATTCGCAAAGTAAAATTTTGATCACTTTTGTACTTGTAACAGATACCTGTAAGGAGGGTTAACAGACTTTCAAAATTGCGTAACATATGTTCGAAAAGTGGAATTAGAAGCAATAAAAGCTTTGAAAAGCAGACATATTTTGACGATGATTGCTATTATATCCAAATAATGCTTCTTAAATAATCATTTTTAAGAGAACCTTGAAAAAAGAAAACTAAGAAACAGATAAAAAGAATAATTTTTAGAGCAACAAGGAAGTAAGATCAGAACTACAAAGTTGTTGTCTTTTAAGTCGATATGATGTACTAGGCATATTTCATCCTGTTAATTTATCATAAGAAAAATTAAGTGACTGTTAAATTAACAATATAAAGAACAATTTGTAGCAAAGAGAAAAAAAAAAAGATAAATTACCGGAATAATATGGAACTGGTTAAAATTATCAGTGCAAAAGAATATGCAAATCCATTTCTCAAACTTTCCAAAAAAAAAAACATGTAGTTGAAAACACTATCATCTTGTTAACATTCTACACAAAAATTCACTGGTCATTACTCTTAACAGACAGTGTTCAGCCTTTTCAACTTCAAAGATGCTCGTATTAACTGAATTTTTTTAAACAAACTGAGAAACAAATTGCCTAACATCTTTGGTTATTTAGTTTTGCAAAGGCAATGTATACATTTCACATGTATTCCCCAGCCGATGTATAAAATCAGTTGTTGACAAAAGAAAAAAAAACAGAGAAGAATTATTAACAACAAAAAAAATTGCAAATAAATAATGAGAACCTTTTTTTACATTCTTATCTTTTTTCAGTTTTCAAAAAACAACTATTTTACTAAATTTGAGAAAGTTGCCAAACAAAAAGGCCACTTTAACATCTATGTAATTGTTGAGTTTACTGTCGTCCATCAGTCTGCCAGTAACACTTGGCTGTTTCCGGGAATAAGATGAATCCAAGGAAGAAAAGGGAAAAAATTATTCATAAATAAAATGGACTCAGCAGAACATTGAAAAACAGAAATACTCCCTGACAAACTGATGATAATAATCGATACATCATACTTCAATCCTTTAGGACTCCCTTCCCTGGTTCGCTCTCAGCCTCTCTAGCAAGTTCAGCAAGTATTCTGCAGACTACGAAAACGCGGAATTTCTCGTGATCCGTCTCTCCATATAATACTTAAAACCGCTGTGTGTTCCCGTTGTCTCAATTCTGCTCTTCCGATCAGCCTTTGTAATTTCAAATTTCCGCATCAATACACCCTTGAACTACCGTCATATAAATTCATAGAGCATGCATAGCGTAAAGATTGGTATAGTGATATCGATTTTTAGACTATCGTAAACTCTTTCCAATTAAAAGAGTTCCAGTGGTTTATCGCTGCCATTTTCAAACACAGGAAGAAACAGCACGGAGATTAAAATTAATTAAAGAGAATTACCTTGAAAAGAAAATAGGAAATACCAGTATACATGTAGTTAACTTATATACGCTATTTACTTTATATGCTTAAAATTTTTAGTGCTCAAAAATTTAATCAATCCTATTAATTACGTGAAAAATACTACAACTTTAATATTTGCGAAACATAAACTTCTTCTTCCCGCCCTCCCCCAACGAATGAAATGAACCTCTTTAAGAAGGCCTCTTGAGGCTGAAAATAAAAGGAGAAGGGTTAATGGCGCACAGAGAAGGAAGAAACAGGCATGGAGTCCATTGTTTTAACAACAAATTTCCATTCTGCCATTCATTATTTTTAACAGTAGAAGCACCGCTGAGACATTGGGCAGTTATGAAAGTGAATATATGCAGTTATGGTAGCCCTTCTGTTCATTTATCACTCCTCACTAAATTTCAAAAAAAGAATACTTTACATAATCAAACCCCTTGAGTCAATTTTTTTGAGAGATGCCGAAGAGAGTTTAAATTTCTTTCTGCATACTTGTTTCTCTTTCTTTATCAGCAAAAAATAAGCGCTAAAAGCATCTTACTCAAAATTTATCAAAGTCCAAAAAAGACAGTTTTAATTCACGCTTACATGCAGTTATTCCGACTATTCAATTTCAACTTTAGCTTTAACGTTAAGTGAAGGTATTAACTATAGAATCTGTTTTCAATCTTCTTCTTTTATTTTTATGCACAGGTGCAAAATTTCTTAGATATTTAAAAAGTGGTTGCTGCTTACTTCTGAATGCACCTTAATTTACTTCTAACTGTACTAAACAAGTGAGCAACTGCTTGATGGAACAAGAACACAGAGAGTAACCAACAACAAAAAACCTTTCTAACAGTTCTCAATGTCACGATCTCTTTCAATCCTCCTCTGCAAATGATTGTCGTTGTTTACCCTATTGAATTGGAAACGCTGGGTCTCCTGCCATGTTAGTTTTCGGGTGTTGGCGATTTACTCGTCGACGACTAGAATGTAACTGACGAAGTAGCGCTCCGATAAAAAGCTTAGAAGGAAGTATATACTCACCAAAAGAGCAACAAAGAAAGAAGTTCAAAGATAAAACCTCCTAAGTATAGCCTTCACTGACGTATATTTAGACCTCTATAAGCCTTTAACCCATTGTCACCAAACAGACGTTATTTTTAATATTCAATTAAACGTTTATACACAGAACAAGCCAATACTACTAGATTAGTCAGCCTCACTAAAACTCTGAAAGTATATCGGTTTGCCCACAATTTATTTGCCAAGTCGACCATTCGCTCATCACAGTTTCGACATTACAATTGAACTCCCATCTATAAAATTGCATTTGGTCTCAAAAGCAGAAATTCAATGACTCAGTTAACAAATGAATACACAAAAAACTCTTCTACCAAAACACCACTAAAGCCTCTTTTAGGAGGATGAGTAAGGTTCTAAAAAGCTAAGTTATTTCAAACATGATGATAACGACACGTTTTCCAACAAGTGCTGCAGTCAGTCGATCCTCATAGCATACGTAACAACGATAGTGAAGTTACTCAACAAGTACCATTTTTCTAACTGCGATTTTTATCAAAAATGATATTGATAATTGTTCAGCAGTTTCATATAGACTGTTTGACCGACTTTGGAACTGCGGTACACAAAAACTTGTAGGAGAAGTTGTAGCCACCCAGAAGAAACGAAATCAAGGTTGAACAGTCATAAATTGGAAAGAAATTAAATTAGCGATCTTCCTTACTGCTAATAAATTTTAAGTCAATTTTCTTCTGCCAAAAGAAAAAAGTCCAAAAATTTTTAAATAAAGTCTAAATTTTCTGTTGAATTTGGAAAATATAAATTTAAAAAGTTGGTATAGTACACAGCGACTGGTCTAGAAAGAAGTTAAAAAACAAATTTGTCAGTGAGATCACAAATTCAAAAATTAATTAAACTGCTTAAGCAAATATTGTCTGTTCAGCTGGCAACAAGTACTAAATTTATTCTAATCATACTTGTCTTCAGCGTTTCTCGGACCACTCAATACGCCTCCCAATATTTTCTGCAGCAAACAGTAAATATCTGATAATATAATGATATTAATAAAGGCAGTATATTTTTAAGCATAGTATTAATTTGAGAAAACAATATGAATAACTCAGAAACAAACTATACACTTTGCTACAGTCGTTCAAACCAGCACGGGTTTTTCAAATCGCAAAAAAAAAGAAAAAAAAACAACAATAAAGTCTCATTTGAGCATCAATGTACAACAATGGCGAAAAGTACCTTTAACAGCGGGTATGAACCCTTGTTCAAAAGCACAAAAATAAAAAATGTAATTTGCAGCCTAAAACAACAGTTCTGTTTTTTCTTGACATCCCTTCTGTATGTTAATTGAATTGTTTTAATCGTAGCGGGACAAACAAGGCACTTTATTATGGTATAGCAGAACCCGGCAGCGAACCATTTCTGTTTGAGGAGTGCCCGGATCGCTGCTGTCGAAGCGAGAAGTCTTTGCTGGTTGACTGAGATAATGAACTTATCCGTGAAGTTATCGAGTTTGCTGAACGTCGAAGTCTCAGATACAATGGGGCGCACATCCGCAGCGCAACCTCAAATGAAAGCTTTCAGAAAAGTCTTTATTTTACTGGGAATATTTCGTAAACTTTACAAAAACTCTCAAAAAATCTACATTGTGTGACAAAACAGCATACTTCATAGGGCGGTGGGGGATCACCGGATGGAGCCATATCCTCGACCAACTGTTGACAGTCGTCAGCATTCTGCTCATCAATTGGTTCATAACCAGATGACCGCCATCTCGTTGACAGTGCGCTAATACTAAGTGACCGTGGCGGTGGACCACTGATGCTACGTGGTAAGGGAGACTGGGAAGACACCGCTACAGATCTCTCGTGACGTGATAAAGTTCTAAATTTTTCATTTGTCACGAATTAAAAAAGCAGGACAGATAAGTACAAATATAAATTTTCAAAAGAATTTGTTAACTAAATTTGCTCATGTACCTCGCAATCATAGAGTTTAAAGATCTACTGCGACGAGGGAAGTGTTGAATTAGTCTCTGAGCAAATGATCTTCGTCGTCCTACACAATGAGGATCACGTAGCCCTCTCCTGTTGCCGATGGCACCATAGTTGGGGATTATCGTATCTTCATTATCCACAGGAATAATGTTATTGCGATTCTGTCGGCGACAGCTTGCAAAAAGTAACTGAAAAATGTGACTGTTTTATGCCCTAATTGATTCCTTTATAAGGATCTTAATTTTGTTTTTAAAGACCAAAATAACAAAAGGCATTTAGGCATTTAGAGTTCTAATAAGTTTTTTATGAACCTGGTCACTCTGGCCAGAGGCGTCGAGCTGCATTGCTTCACTGTAGCTTGGGACAACAAAGTAGTTCGCTCGATCCTGTATCATTTGTGGATTGCCAAATAGTTGATTAAAATTACCCGTAAAATTAAGATTTGAAGGACTGAAAAAAAGACGGTTGTTAGAGTAATTTTACTTGTGTAACTGAACCTTTGCAAGATCTGAAGTTTAGCAGAAATATAAATCTATTTTTATGATCATGTTTTTAGCCAGTAGTTTTTGAAAATTACTTGATGATAAAACATGTAATGAAAAACTGAATTCTTTCTCTAAAATATTTTTTTTTGCACTCACCTAATGTAGTTAGTGCCAAATAGTTTTGTTATTTCATAGTCAACAATAGCAGTGCGAAGCTCGCGAATAAATCTTAGCGGCCAACTAAGCAAAAAGAAACTGAAGCACCAGAAGACCGCAGTTTTGAGGTACCATGGAGGAGAGTCGTATGGAGACGCATACACTAACAGTTCGTCGATGAATTGTATTTCAGCAAAGTCAAAACCCTCACGAGCCTGAAATCCACGAAGACGCTATTCTGCACCCAGTACTTATGATATCATTGAAGATGAACAGTTTATAAAGCTTGATTGCCATACAGACTTCTCAAAAACGAATAAGGAAAAAGCTTTTTTTCTCTTTAAACTGATGACATATGATTACAAATTTTAAAGATAGAGAAAAGACAACGACAGTCTACAAATACTGAGAGCAAATGCACTTGTCTACAAGGTTCATAGTGCCTTACTAACAATTACTTGAGTTACAATTAACTTTTATTTTAGAACTGATTTAAAACATGCTTTTCATGTTGCTACGATCTAATTTTATGATAATTTACTTCCATATAATCATCCTGTAATTCGCTTTCACCAAAAAACCTTGATCGCTGCTGCTCAAATTCGGCTGCTGCCTGCACAGAAGCAAACAAGAAATTCTTACTAAAAGTTATCCGTGTTGCACCAAAGCAGTCTAAATCGACCAACTTTTTAGATATGTCCTGAAAAAAGGTAGTTTATAACTTGCAGTAAAAATTCTAAGCTTTTCTGTCAAATTCTCAAATTTCAAAAAAACATTTGTTTACCTTGACACCACAAATATCGTAAACAAACATATCACCAAAAGTATGCGAATTTGCACGCTGATAATATGCCTGTGTTGATGTTATGGCTTCACCGTTGCGATACCTATAATCAATTTATTTGCACAATCTGATTTTTCATTTTTAAACTGCTGTAGGTGATTTTTTTGTTTATTTTTTTTGCAGAACAGAATCAATGCTAAAAGTTTATTAATCAAAAATCTGATAGTTTTTTAGAAAAATTTAAGCACCCATAAGCATAGAAGTGTAATCTGTGAGAAGGTACAACAGAATAGGTGAACAACCAAGCCAAGAAACATGAACATATCAAAGCACAGATTCCACCAAGTTCAGTTAATTTGTTGTCAATTAAATCTAGAAAAAGAAAGTTGCAACTGAATACATTTGCTAACCGTGTAATTTGCCGAGTTCGCCGAACATAATGATAGCAAACACTTTTCCACCAAACAATCGGTGTTGCGGCACAAACTTTTTTGATATATTCATCAGCTTCAGCACGATTGACCTTAAATGTTCGTTTTTTCTGTTTTTTTTTTTTT